ATGCTTTTTAGAATTTCCACATAGCAGTCACATGGCTTGGGGATAAAAATAGATGAAGAGTTATATTATGGGGCTTTTTGAGAAAGCTCGCCAATGGCAAAGACCTGCAACCTACACCACTACGTTTTGTTTTGACTTTGTAAATAAAGTTCAGCATTATACACCTCATGGTGCCCGATCTTTTTATTGCTCTTTGAACTGATTTTGGCCCGAAACTCCCAAATGAATAGCCACCTGCCGACCAAAAGCAGATGGGCATGACGGTTTTTTCCTACACAATGCCTTAATCAAATCCAGCATACGTGTCGTTTTGTGTGTACGGAAATGTTGAATTGAGTAAAAAAACGAGTTGGAGGTCGAAATAAATGCGATTATCTACCATGCTCTACAATGATGAGAACTTGGCCGAGTGAGTTGCTGTTTACAAACCAAACTCTTGGCCTCCGCATCGCATGGTTTGGCGGCGAATGACGTGAAAAATGAAGCACCATTCGGATCAGCTTCACAACGTGCTGACATCATCGCCGTTCACAGATATTAAAAGTGAAATCTCCTAAGCATGTTGCCCTTGATTGCAGCTACAATCATATATCAAGTCTCGACGGTCGCGCAAGAAATAAAATTCACTGAAGCGCAACACTGCGTTACATAGTTATCAAGAAATTCAGATCCCCGAAAGCAACCAGTGAATGCCTGAAATCTACTAGGACCATCAGCTCCGCTAGATTCTAACCAGGTAGACAACGTCCTTTCAATATACAGAGCATCAGAGCCTTGTATCAAACTGTGGGATAGACAGTTTTCCAGAAAGTCAAGCCCGAGTTAAAGTGCGGTCCAATCCCGCCAAGGTAAGTGGAATCCCCTGTGCTGTGGAAAGCGACAATCATCAGTGGTTGAGGAACCTAAACCGCAAAAAGCGCCTGAAATTCGCGGCACATTCGTCTGCAATCCTGCAAAGTTTAGGTGCAGAGTAATCGACTCACTCCTTATCTCATGGAAATCTTGATGTCCGCCACTGGACATCGAAGAAAAAAATGAAATGGATGTTGATTGCCGGTGCTAAATGCCGCGAATTGAAGGAAAGTGGTCAGCTATGGTGTGATGCCGCAGGTGATATGTGGGGAGCCATATGTATGTTCTCTTGAACGTTCAGTCCACAGCATTAACCTTGTGGAATAATACTAACGAGCAAAGTCAAGAGGTCAGTTCCAAAGCCACTTGCATGGTACCACAATTGCCGATTGGCGTGGGTTTAACACAACTATTGAACCCATGGTGCGAAGAATAGCCATCTGATTGCCCACATTACTTAAGAGGAGCACCTTAGACACATTCGTAAGACTACGCGATGCCGATTATCATAGATCTGGATTTGAAGGACGACTCGCAGCGTCACCTATAGCATGGTGATAGGCTTGAGACTTTTGGGTGCCTGATGTTTTAGAGCGGGTCATTTTTAGGCGAATACTTAAAATACCTGTACATGAATTAAACCAGTGAACAACAGTTCCGAAAAATAGTGGACCATGCTATACAATGCAGATGAAACAAATATACTCTATCAACGATTGACAATTTTGAGCCCGAATGGCAGGACAAGGCGCCACCGTGTGACCTCACTTACTGTCATTTGTATTAAAACAGAGAACACGAACGAATGGCCGATGCTCGCAGCACACGCACAAATTCACCTGGTTTGCCCTAGCACGTAAGATGCACACCCGAGACACGCGAGGCCACCATAGGCGGATCGTTATTTAGCACAGGCCTAAACCTACGGATGCAGACTGTTCCTTCTGCCACCACAAAAGATTTAACTCCATAGAATATCAAGGATAAAGAGGGCCCCACCTATCAATTCGATACATTATCGCGCGATTTGAATAGACTGGAGGCCGAGGAAAAATTAGTATAACCGGCAATTCATTTGAACGGCGGTCTGCAATTAGCCCGGAGTTATTTTGATGCTGTCAATGCGCTGCAGAACACTGGGTTACTCAACACACCGCTGTGTACATAGTATCCTGAATTTCTCAACTTTTCTGGGCATTTCAGGATTCTGTTCCGTATGGCAATGTATGCAGAAGGTCACTGCTGGCACCGTTTCTGGCTCCAAATCCGATAAGCACATGAAGCCGGAATGATCCTAGAGAACGCACTTTACCACAGACGTTTCGCCGGCTGAGCAATGACCATCCGCTGAAGCCTCTCAATTCAGCGTGAACAGCATAAATACGGTCGCCATCGCTGCACATCCGAATTCCTCGGATACCAAGTAGAGTATATCCGAAAATATCCCTTGCCTAGGGTGCTCCAGGACCTAAGCACCTGAATTTGACAGCCGATCATAATACACTTTTTGGTACAGACCGCTCTGTGTGCTTGCCACTCTCCAGTAAAAGTATATGGTGCGTATACTGCCTCTCCTGGTGATTTTTCACTCACGATCCCTCGGCTCAGACCGCACCATGGCCCGGGTACTATGATGGAGTCGCCACCTGCAACCCCCGGGATTTAAAAGCTTCGACCGGAAAGCCTGTTTTCTTGTGAGGCTTGCGGAATTCAGGTTTTTCAAGACGATCCAGAAATTTCGGCAAACCTAATCCCGTTTTACTTCTTCAGTCGATGGGCCCCACACTCTTGTTTCAGACGAAACATGTCCTTATTATGATATACGAATGGGATTGCCCGCAATATTCAAAATGCAGCCTAATGAGTGCTTTAATTAATGGGGAGGATGGCCGGTTTTGTGGAATGCACAAACCTGAGCAGGAAATGAAGGTCTCATTCTTTATCGTTAGCCAAAGATCTCCACTGTCTTAGTAGTTAACTAATAATAATAGGTTTATTTCCCAACCTGTAGGAAACATGCCGATTGAGGCGTGATCAATATTACTGAAAAGTGATACTGGGGCTCCGGGGTCCTTGAATCAGATTCACGATGGATTTTCAAGGATTCACGAATTGATACATATTACCGAGGCTTTCGCCAATTTTTTCCGATAGGTTTCGTTCTTGTCGGTCAGCGGCTTCTGTTCACTTAAAAATGTTCACCTAAAAGGCACAACCTAAAAGGCACACGAATACAGCTCAGCGATTCAGACGGGCCTTGTGCACTATCCTCGGGCTGGTGTTAAAATGCACGTACAGACTAACTTCGATCGGGGTTAGCGAAATCGTATTTTTGTCTGGTCAGTTCACGTGGCTTGACGACGTTAGCCTATGTCACTTAGAGTAAAGAGAATGAAAACCTCACAAAGGAGGCCTCTAGTTTGAAAATTCTTGCAATTATCTACCGCGAACCAGTTCCTTATCGGTTTTCTTCTGGACGACGACAGGAATTGTTCCACAGACCTCATTGTGGCAACAGCTTTGGCTGCCTGTTTGGAGTGAACGTCTAGGGTTCTCGTGGCCTGTCCACTGGCAGCATCGCGTTTCACTTTGTTGGAGCAGCAAACAGCCACGTGTGTTGCAGCTGGTAAAGACGGTTGAAGGCGTTAAATCCTAACTATGGAAGTGAGTTTTCTGTCATTTTTCGCCCAGACTACCTGGTTCATTGTGTACATATTTTCGAAAATCCTCAATAAAATTGTCAGTTTTTCCCGGTTTCCTTAGGTAATATAAATTGCTCACATCTGCTTAGATGCTGGCCTATATCCGTTAGCTTGTAAGATGCCAGAGATCCTCAATTCTGGGCAGGTGATTCTGACATAGGAATGATTCAATTGAGTCGGTTATCCTTATGAATATCACTCAAAGATAAACACTTAAAGTGGATCCAGACTAAGCATTGCGTTGAACTCCACGCTGGAAGAATTTACTTCATCTACCTTTTTTCGAAGAATTCCGTGGTTTGAACCGGTAGCATCCCGTAGTTGTCAGACTCATGTTAATGAAACCGTTGGCACAAAAGGATAAAGATGTTCAAACTGATGAAGAGTTGCGTGCATATAATCTGCGCCGGCGTAGGGGACATTTGATTCGAGTGACATATGGGAAACCTTCGAAGTGCTAAAACAGTAAAAATATTGTTCGCAAACACGGGCGAGGGAAAAGAGGAACGTAGCTGGAACTTATGGCTGGTTGAGAAAATAATTACTATCTCCGGCCACCTACGCCAGTAAGTGAGGTCGGGGTTCACTTCTTTACTGTATTTTACCCTCCTACTATTCATAGTCCAGTGTGATTTAAAAACCGCACTCACCTTCCCCCAGCACACAAGCCCATCGCAGCCCTTGAATTTGATTGGTCAATGTTCCGGCCAATCATCGTGCGAATTCTATTGTCTGTGGCCTGTCCGCCATCCCGGCGAATGCCAAGGAGCAGAGACAATCCGCGGGTGGTTGCAGCGGACCGCAGTCAGGTGTGTAGGCAAGTGGATGAGGGTTCGAAGTTGGAGGATGCATCTGGCTGGAACTCACTGGGTTGAGCGGACGACAACCCAATCCGGGAAGCTTGGGTGAATGCCTCTATCTTGTGTCGCAATCAGTGAATATCGACCTTGACGCGCAGTACTTATTTCTTCGCTGATTGCGAAGTGAACCAATCGGCAGGATAAACGGCAGAAGCCTACAAACTGAACGAAGGAGAATCCCATTCTTGAGATTCAGGCTGTTGAGAGGAGGGAACAACTTGGTCTGTGTCAGCTTCATCTTTCGGTGTCATCTGACTAGGATCATCTGTTCAGGTGATCTCGAAATCTAAGGATATGATTGCTGGTCATTCTAGGTGATTCCATCCACTAAGGGGTTACTCTTCCACTTTAATGCCACTGAATTCAACGTTTGCGTTACGGGAAGCTTTTTTTAAAATTTGGCTGTATACAGCCAACCTGGACGGCCAAGTTGTGGGTTGTAAACATGATACGTTCTTAGTATTCCCAGACTTCCGGACGTGTGAGAGTGTACGGAGAGCCCTCTAAAAGCTTCCGTACACAAAGCGGTCTCCGTCAGGGATGCCCACTCTCTCCATTCCTTTTTAACTTTGTGATCGATGAAATAATGAGACGAACGCTGGAGGGTCTCCAAAACCCGGATGTTCAAATAGCCTGTGAAGAAACCCTTGTCGATCTGGAGTATGCAGACGACATCGTTCTCATGTTCGAAGAGGAGGAAAAGGCGCAAGTATTCTTGGATGAACTGACCAAAGTCATCCCGTCCTTTGGTATGCATTTTGCACCCACAAAGTGTAAGGTCATGCTTGTGGACGTGCAGTCACTGAACACGCCCCTTACAATCCAGGGAGAGGTACTGGAAGTTGTGGAGCGTTTTACGTACCTTGGAAGTTGTATTAGTTCTGATTGCAGTGTGACAGATGAGGTGAATGCACGAATCTGCAAGGCTCGGGCCGCGTTTGCTAACTTGAGACACCTATGGCGTCAGAATGGTTTATCCCTGAATCTGAAGGGACGTGTGTATCAAGCTACAGTACGGGCTGTTTTGTTGTATGGCTGTGAGACTTGGCCTATTCGAGCAGCGGACCTGAGACGTCTTCAGGTGTTCGACAATCGTTGTCTCAGAACCATAGCTCGTGTGAATTGGTGTCGGCGTATCCGTAATGAGGCAGTTAAAAAGCGCGTTTTCGCTTATGTAACGGGTACTTCGATTTAAGAATGTGTCCAGCACCAGAAGCTGCGTTGGTTGGGACATGTGTTACGTATGCCGAACCATCTTTTATCGAAGTGAGTCCTGTTTCCCATGCCCAACTCAGAGTGGCGTAAACAGAGGTGGCCAACCCTTGACCTGGCAGAGGAGTATGAAGGAGATCACGAAACGCTTGGGTGCTGTCGGTGCTACTCGCCTTCCAGGATGGGGACCGCGTGATCCTCACTGCCTGGTTGGAGACACTACAAGATATGGCTGCCAACCGATGTTAGTGGCGTTCTTGTTATCAGTTTCTATCCAGATTGCCTGAGTGAATGTCTGGAGGTGTAGGCACCTCGGAATGATTGTGTTAAGCTAGCACTAAGTCCCTCCCCCGTCCGCCTTTACTCTTTTCTTTACAATAAGGCTTTCAAATAAGTCATGGCTGTACGGCAGTGAAGCATCGGTGTTGAACACTGATGTCATGCTGTCGATGATGATGATGATGATATTTTTCAAGAACATCTTGGGCACAAGCGTGTTGAAAAAAACCAACCGGTCGACAGAATATTACAGTCGAATTTGATTAACACCAAGTTTGTAGGGCGCCTATAAGCATGCAGTTGCTCTAACACTTGACAGAGTGGGAAGATGTGGTGGACACAGCCCCTTCCAGACTGGAGTCCTGTGTGCTGTTCTCAGGTCCCGTCTTCACACACCTTCGTAAGGTGACCGAAAGTTGTGGTGCTTAGGCTTCAGTCCGCAGTAATCCCGCGGCTGTACTGGTTTACACTCAGTTCCTAAAAGTTCACCCATGCCAGGAAGGCCAGCGGGGAGCAGCCAGATGAGTGAGTCTTCATACTGCAAGTACCCGTATTACGAGGTGATATGGAGTTGGAGTCGCAATGTTCTCTGTGGTAGGAGTGCGAAAGAAGTTAGGCGCTTTCTTCAGGCCTCCAGCATGTCCTTATTGAAACAACGATGCTGCCTTTCTCCGAGAAGGAACAGGTTAGAAAATGTTGGCCCTAAGAAACGACACTCCGTCGCCCACTGTTTGTCCGTGGCTGGCAATGCATTATTCAATAGTCGAAGTACCTTTATAACCAGTGTGGTACGGCAGCGAAGCATCACTGTTGAACACTTATTTCATGCTGTTGGTGATACTGATGATGAAGAGTCTGGTGCTGCTCAAAAGGCACCTGCTGTGCGCAGCTGCATTAAGAGTCAGAGGGCTATGCCTTACTCCCTGAGCCCCCGGGCCAAGCCAGCCCCCATGCAACAAAGTGGGTCAGACTGTTAAGTCATTGGCTGCTTGAAAGGTCCCTCAAGGAAACCTGACAACCACTGTTTCATGGTTTTGTGTCAGATACTCAAGGGCTGGCACTTCAGTCAAACCTCCTTCAACCCGAGCAATTGGGAATCGTCATCCTCTCTTACAGATCTTCGCTCACTGACTGCTCCCCACACGTCCCTTACCGAAATGCTTGTGACTTCTTTACCTCTCAGTCACCTAACCGTTGTTTTGTATCTAAGCGTCTGCTCGGGACTCTGTTCTACATTGCTGTTTTCAATGTCCTTATTCTGAGCTCGAAATAGCGTAGTGGTTCAAGGTCGAACTTACTGTTAGAAAGGTCCGTGGTTGAATCCGAGCCCCGCATCTGGATTACTTTTGTCTAGTTTTGGGCAACATGGTAGTTTTCTGGCCCTCTTGTTTCTCTCGGGTGGCATGTCAGCCGGGCACTGATAGGGTGCTATATCTGGACGATTATTATTATTATTATTATTATTATTATTATTATTATTA